GTAATGCTTCTAATGCACTTAGAAAAACATTAAGCACAATGGGATGCCTTGACAGGCAGGATTTTGTTTACACCGGGGATGAGCTCCTCCCAGCTGAGGAGTGCAGGTAGACTCTGGACCGCAACACGTCAGTATAAGGGAGCCCTTTTCTCAGTGCATCTGTGCTGAAATGCAGTGCCTACACATCACTGTGGAGCCAGCGGGTGTGTGTGGTTGTGCGTGTGCCCACATATCTTCCAGAACAGATCAAAGATAGCAACCTTAATGTTCTGCTGATGTGATGTGATGCTTTAGTTCACCTTGACTGCATAGTTTGATTCTCCCACACCCTTTTGGAGAACTTCACCACAGTAACCCTTCTGCTGTGTGACCTTGCCCACACATCTTGGCCTCTCTGTTCCTCTTTATTCTAAATTGGGGCCAAAATGACACCTTTGCCATCTCTGCCACAGGATGCTGTAGGCATGTGTGAACTTAGGAGAGGGAAAGTTCCTGGGACACATCATGGATCCACCACCAACTCCTACCCCTCCTTCCTTGATCTTCAATAGGACTCTGCAAGGAAGGCAGGTTGGGTCTTTGAGTGGCTATTGTCTCCCCTCAGGGGAGTGTTCCAGTGTTCAACAAACGTTTACTGAGCACATGCCATGTGCCCTGCACTGTTGCAGGTGCCAGGAGCTCGGCAGCTCTCGGAATGACAGACAATTGAAAAAGAACAGCTCTCCCTCGTTCTCCATACCTTCTGCCCCCATGGCACTTCTGGAGGAGCACAGGCCAGCTCCGTTACAGACTGCCCCAAGGTTAGGTTTGTCTAGTGTTGCCCTGTGATTTGTGCACTTGGGGCAAGAACATCAGAAAAGCGTTGTGTTCTTCTGGGGGCATTGTTTCAGAAAGCTCATGACCTTGATTGTATCCTTCCTGGAGAGGTTAACTTTGACCACTTGGTTAAGAGGGTGTCTGCCAGGTTTCTGTATAAAAAGTCATATTCATTATATATAGAGATGATATGTAATATATGTAATATGAAATTGGTTAGTACTTTGACTCCTTAATTAATAAATAATAGAAGTTTTTTGGGGAGATACTTCAAGGCTGCAGTGGTGAAATAGAGCTGTTCTTTCTCCCCTCTTATCGATATAACACTACAGACTCCTACACCCCTATTTTAACTCCCAGGGCTATAATTGATTAATATAATATTTATTATGATGCTTCTGTTGTACCCATTTTGCACAGTAGACTCCCATTCAGGCTGGCATCTATGTCTATGTGACACATCCTCACCATTCTTGGAGCACTTCTTTAATCTCTGGCACAAGAATTCCAGGCTTATCTTGTACTTTCTCTACTCCCAGAGTCAGCCATTTCCCCAGGGAGCCGTGGTTCCTTTCAGTACAGAATAATATTTAGAAACCAAGACCTGGGCACAGGGATGGCATGATAATCAGATTCAGTGTATGACCGTGGACTGTATCCTTGGACTTATAAAGGGCATTTTTGAGGCAATTAGCAAAATGGAAATAGGATCTGTGGATGAGAGGGCAGTAATGCATCAGTGTTAATTTCCTGATTCTGATGGTTGTATTATGGTTATATAGGAGAATGTCCTTGTTTTTCTGAAATATGCTCTGGAGTGTTAAGGGGTAATTTACTCATTATGAATAAATAAAATGAATAAATGAGAGAGAGAAAGAGAGACTGAGCAGGAGGGAATATGAATGAAGAAGACAGTGAGAGGAAAGGTACACAGGTGGACATGGGTCCTGTGTGCTTGAAAAGTAGCAAGAAACGGAGATGTACATGTGGCAGGCTGGCCAGGCACAGGTGTTTGGGGTGGGAGCAGATGCAGAGGGAGGTGGGGCCCTGCCAGGTAGGTCCTTCAAGTGGGACATCACTGAAAGCTTCCAACAGGGGTTCTGATGTGGCATTGAGCCCTTGCCGTGCTCCAGACACTGTGCCGAGTGCTTTGGGTACACATCTCACTTGCTCTTTGCAGTAAACCTGGGAGGCTTTCCTTGGCATCATTTCCTCATTGCAGATAAAGAAGTGGAAGCTCTGAAAGGTAGAGTAACTGTCTTAAAAGCACAGAGCTACTAAGTAGCAAAAGGAGTCCTGGAAGCCGCTTTTCTGAATATGACCCCAAGATAGAGACCCAAGTGGCATCAGAAGGTTCCTCTGCTCTGCTGGCAAATATACCCCAGTGCATTCTTTTTAGGGGACATTTGGTACATGTGCCATGAGTGTTGGGGGAGAAGCGCCCACTTTGTGATTCCCTGGGATTCTGCTTATGAGTGTTAGTCCTGGTGTGTCCATTTTCCCACTGAGTAGAACCAGGGCAGTAGCTAAGGCCTTGTTCAAAAAGATAATCCCCACCTGGGGAATTCCAAGAGCGCTACATGGTGAACAAGGGACCCACTTCACTGGACAGATTATTCAAAATGTCTGCAAAATTTGGCCCATCTATGAGCATTTTTGCTATGCCCCTACCCCCACAAACCCTAGGACTTGTAAAAACTTCTGAAAACATTATAAAAGAACAATTGGCAAAAATCTGTGTGTCCCTTAGCATTCCATGGACAGAGGCTCTGCCTTTGGTATTTCTCAGCCTGCGTTCCTCCCCCACAGGACAACCAATCATGCCCTTTGGAAATTATCACTGGGTGCCCATGCGCCTTGAGGAAGGACTTCACCAGCCTGTCTGGTTAAAAGGAGACCCTCTGCATTATTGTAAAAAGCTTATTAGCATCCTTCAGGGTGATGCTGAACTTGTGAAAGACTCCTTCCGCAGAACGCTGGTGGGAGATGAAGGATCATAGCATACTCTGCAGCTGGGAGCCTGTCTCCTGAGAAAGGCTTCAGCCTGAGGACTCCCTCCTGCCCTGCTGGGAGGGACCCCACCAGATAGTGTTAACTAACTCATGAGCAGCCAGGCTCAGGGGCACTGACTCATGGGTTCCTGTTTCCCATTTACAAGAGGCTCCTGACCCTCGACGACCAGGAATCCACGCCAAGGCCAGACACCCAGAGTGAGCTGGCCCAGACCTCAGGACAAGGATGAGAAGCAGATGTCACAGGGGTCTGGGACAGACAGCTGACCCAAGTACAATGATCCTTATGACTACTCAGGTGCAGTGGGAGCTCCTGAGCTTGCCGAAGTCTCTGGACTGTTATCTCTTCATAGTTTCACAGTTTCGTCTTCATCGCTGGTGGAAAATTCTGAAGTTCCTTATATTTGTTGTTGCTCTGATTCTCCTCATCCCATTACTCCTGTTAGGAAATCCCATGAGGCCTGGAGACTTTATCCTCACCCCTGACTGAGTCACCCAGAGTCTTCTGTTGGCCCCATTTTTAAAATTCAAATTCGATTCTCTTCTTGATAACACTTAGAAAATTAGGAAGCCCTTTGTACTTAACCAAGGAAAACTTTAATCCTATTAATTTCTTTCTCCACCCTGGCTCTCTCTTTATACACTTGTCCCAGTGTTTAGCCTCGGCTGCTGATCTTAAACCACTGGTTTGTTGTCATCGCACTGAGCTTGGGACCCATATGTAACCGCCACCACCAGCCCCAACAACATACAAGATCCAGTCACCACAGACAGTGCCCCAGCTCCCTGCTCCATTGTGTCCTCCTTACTCCCTACCTACTGTTGTGCCAGTCATGCTCCTTGCTGTTTGCTGCCCTGCCAATCTTTTCCAAAGATTTTAATTAAAAAACAAGCATAATGCCCTGCAATGACTCCTCAGATTAAAGAACAACCTGTACACGTGTACTTGGTGTAGACAGCTACTCCAAACCTATCCCCAGATGCTCAGATAAAGCGGACAAATGTAGCACCCAGACAGGACTTTTGATATTCTTCAGTTCCTGCTGAGATATCACAATAGACCATAAGTTGTGAAGTCCCAAACCATCTGGATGTAGTCAGTCAACTCAGGCTTGTGGCTGGGCTTGACAAAATAGCCAATCAAATGTAAATCCCAGAGTTGCAGTTTATGCTATGCCTACTGAAAACCTCTCTGCCTCACCTTCTGCAGAGCACACCTTCATTTTGTTCCAAAGGCTGTGTCCCCAGTTGGCAAACTGTTCTCCTTTTTGCAGTGAAGATCTCTCTGATCAGATTTCTCATCTTCCAGGAAAATTTGTTGACAATAATAACAAAAGAATAAAAATAATAAATAAAGGCTAAAATCCAATGGTGGACACATAACTAAATACTACTGATAAGATGTTTAGGATCTAAATTTAGTGGCATGGAATATTTAATAACATAAGTTTAAAATTCAAGTTTTAGTATATAGAGGGCATTGCTGTTTTGGTTAATAGAATTCATATTTATCTCCCTGTTTAAATAGAAACAGATCTGGAATAATTGATATTAATATGTAAATGGAGTTATTGCCAGGACTTCGGATTTGGGGGGGATTGGAATTGTGTTTTCTTTGAGGGTGGCTGTACCATCTAATTTGTATTCCCCAATCATATACCGTGAGGTGTCATTAACACAGTAGTGCATGATTCCATTTATATAAACTACAAAACAGTGAAAGTGATCTGTGGGATTAGAAGTCCAGGTGGTGGGGTAATGACCTGAGGGGGCAATACCAGGGCTGTTTAACAAAAGCACAAAACCTCAAGGCTGTGTAAGAGACAGTTAGCCTGAGTTTGCAGGGGCCAGCTTACCTGGGCACGGCTGATTCGCCAGGCCTACTCATGCATCGGAGGCAAGCCTCAGGTCGGCTGCCCAGCTCCACCGACCTTACTGGGCTCACTCTCACATGACTAGAGGGCAGCTGCCCGATGCCTAATACAAAATGAGGCTGTGTTGCCTGATATGTAAACAGGGCTCTGGTGAACATGGAGGGCTAGTAGGCCGGGACACACTGGCTGGGGGTGAGGGTGTTGTATCTGGAGTAAGGTGAGTCCTGAAAGCAGTAGCTGTGATGTTGGCGATGATGGGAGCCACGAGTCAGCACTAACACGGCTTGCTTCCTCTCAGCAGGTGCCTCAGGATCTCCCAATGGGGTGGCTTCGCTCTAGGCTCATGTTCCCTGTGAGCTGGCTGATCCTGGTGTGGGTGGCAGGCTCTGGTAAGTCACCACCTCTCATTCATTCACTCATTCATTCAGCAAATGTTTATTGACTGTTTACATGTCAGGCTCCTGAGATAATCAGTGAACAAAGTAAAGATCCCTGGCCTTGAGGAGATTACATTGTAGTAAGAAGGGACAGCCAATGGTAAAGGGTCCTAATTAAAAGTAAATTCTAAAGATTGTTAGAAGGTGATAAAAAAGGATAATATAGAACAGAATAGGGAGGATTGGGGAAGCTGGGTGGAGTGGGAGGGTTGCATTTGAGCATCTGTGCTCAGGAACGTCCTCATTGAGTGATAGTTGAACAGGACTTGAAGGAAGGTGGGGGCTATACATGTGCCTCAGGGAGGAGTGTTCTCAGTGAAGGCCCTGAGTGTGAGGATCTGAAAGAGGCCAGTGTGGTGGAGGCAGTGGCCAGGAGGGAAGAGAGGAAGTCAGCCAAGTAACAGGGTGGCCAATTCAGGAAGGTCCTTGCAGGGTTTGAGCAGAGAAGCCACATGATCTGCTGCATTAAAAAAGATCCTCTGGCTGTAAGTACAAGGGTGGAGGCTGGGAGGCCAGAGAGGAGGCCCTGCAGTAAGCCAGGTGGCTTGGATCAGCAGTGGAGATAAGAGGAAATTGGCTTCTGGATCCATCTGGAACTTACATGTGAAGACTGATTGGCTTCGAGGTGAAAGAGAGACGTGTCAAGGATGCCCCTAGGCTTCTGACCTGAGCAAGTGGCAAGGATGAGGTTATCATTTCTGAGATACAGAGGAGCATGTGTTTGGGGGACTGAGAATCAGGAGTCAGTTTTGGACATGAGGTGAGTTTGAGATATTTATTAGATAATCTAAGACTCTCCTTAACATGATAAGCTCTTTTATTCAGCAAGCAGATGCCAACTGATGTCAGTTGTGATGGGGCACCGGCATAAGGCACCTGCCGGGCAGGTGTGGGTAGTCTGGAGCTTGGGCAGGGGCTCTCAGATGATTTGGCAAATGCCGTATACATACTGCAGGGTTCAAATCCCAGCTCTGCCACTGATTAGCTGAAAGAAGTACCATAGCCTCTCATCTTGCCTTTGATGTTGGCATCCAGAAGACAAGGGCACTTGAGAGACAAGACCTTGGGGGTCAGCCTCCTGAGCACAGAGAGGGAGGAGAATAGATGGGGGCAGGGAGCGGGCAAATGGGTAACAGCTCTAGGGCAGATGTGTGGTATGGTGGAAGAGAGCTCCTCAGACTGTTAGGTATTTTTCCCTTAATTTGGCCGAGGGTAAGTAGTTGAGTCTGCAGAAGAAAATAGGACCCTGCCTCCGAGGGTATTTCTTCACCTTCAGCAATCGCCCCATGCCAGTTGGCCCAGTCAGCTGCCCTGGACCCAGCTCTATGAGGATTAGCACACCACCATGTCTAGGACCATAGTTTCCTTGGTTTTGACAGGCTCTTGGACTGGCTGTTCAGTCCAGCTGCTCAGCGCTCTCCTGTGTCTCCCCAGGGAGTGTTAAGGTCCTGAATGCGCCCACTTGCTTCTCAGACTACATCTTCACCTCCACCTGTGAGTGGAAGATGGATGGTCCCACCAACTGCAGCAACAACCTCCGCCTGTCCTACCAGCTGAATTTTGAAGGGTTTGAGTAAGCCTGTGCTGGGAGCTGGGAGGTGGGGAGGCCGTGCCCAGAGGGTTTGCCCCGGGATCTCACCAGGTCTGGGCGGTGTGCCCTGGAAGGCATGGTGCTAGATGGGGTTCACTGCGACCTGCTGGGCATGGTGTTGGGGGTGAGGTGCCCTAGGGCACAGCGTGTGTGAGATGGAGCAAGTGCACCACAGCTCCAAGCACACTGTCCCCAGAGAATACTGGACTGGAACACTGGGTATTCAGAGGGTAGAATACTGGACTAGACCGGTGGTTCTCAAACTTTTTGATCTCAGGATGCTTTGGCTTGCTTAAAAATTAGTGAGCTAATAGAAAACTTTTTTAAATTTAAAGTTAGTTTAGTTTAAATTTTTAATTAGTGAGCTCAAAAATGCTTTTGTCTAGGTAGTTTAAATCTATCAATATTTACCCTATTAGAAATTAAAACCAAGATTTTAAATCACAACACATAAGCCTGCACTCAGTGAGCCATCGGAGCAGAGGTTCCATGTCATGCAGCCTCTGGAAAAGTCCACTGTACACCTGTGAGAAAGTGAAAATGGCAAATTATGTTTTAGTATTATGAAAATAGCTTGACCTTAGTGGATCTCAGACCACACTTGAGAACTGCTGGACTAGACTATTGTTTGGAGGTACAGTGTAAACAGTGGAGTTCACTGTGATGTTCGGTGAACCATAGAACATGGGGCTTCACTGGGCTAATCCATGTACATGGGGTACCACTACAGGTCCTGGTACCCATCCAGGACGTGACTGGGTACACAGGCCTGCAACGGGGCACACTGGGAGGTACAGCACCCTGGAATGTAGGGTACACTGACACATTTGGTTTTCCACAATATACTGAGGTAGACAGGCTGTGATTCTGTTTGTGGTACATTGGCCCAGACCAGGGATCTGCACACTATGGCCCATGGGCTGTATCGGCCCACCATCTGTTTTTGTAAGTAGTTGCCCTGGAATACAGCCATGCCCATTCGTTTATGTTTTATCTGTGTCTGCTTTTGAGCTACAACCAGCAGAGTTGAGTAGTTGTGGTAGAAATGGTACAGCCCTCAAAGCCCAAAATATTTACTATCTGACCCTTTATGGAGAACGTTGGTTGATCCCTGGCCTAGCTCACGAGATGTGAGTTGGCTGTTTTACGTGGCACGTAGGATTATGTTGGGGTGCATGGGGCACATGTCTGTGGACAACTTACCAGGGCATGCCACAGTCCACTCTACACTGGAATAAACTCTGTTATACAGAGTTACGCTGTGATACATACACGGTCTTACAAATTCTTTAATGTCTCAGGTTCTTCCCTTTGACTGGCTTTCAGGGATGAACCAAGTTCTGGGACCAAGACCATGCATGGCAAGGGGTGTATAAGATCCATGGTGGGTACTGGGAGGGGCTGGGACCAGCAAGGAAGACAGTCCTAGTCTGCTGTCCCCACAGCACCCTGGCCTGTCCACTCCCTAGTCCCCAGATCTTGGAGACAGAATTATCAGGAAGCTGGAAGCTCTTGTGGCTCCTTGAGGCATGTCCCCGGGACTCCCGTGGGTCATAGCCAGCCTAAACACAACTGGCCTAACACATTTTCTGTGTCTGCAGAAACCACACGTGTGTCCCTGAGAACAGAGAAAGCACGGTTTGCGTGTGCACTATGCTGATTGCTGAGCCGGTCATAGCGGACGTCTATCAGCTAGACCTGTGGGCTGGGAGGCAGCAGCTGTGGAGCGACAGCTTCAAGCCCAGCTCCCATGGTGAGCAGGCTGGGGAGGGCGGGGCTGCAGGTGCTCCTGCAGCTGGGCTCGAGGGCAGGGGTGCAGGCTCCATTTCGGGGAGGGGGTCCAAGCAGCCTCCTGCATGTTCCCAAACCTAATGCAGTCCTGGCCCCTTTCTGGGCCTCGTTCCTCCCATCTTTGAAATGGAATTGGACTAGTGTATCAGGTCCCCTTCAGCTCTGATATCTCAGCTCCCTGAATTTAAGTGCCCAGACTGGGGTTTGGGATGAAGCATGTTTGATACATGCTGGATTAACTCTGGGATGAAGGGACGCTTGCTGCCAATCCAAAACTGAACTGGGGACTTCCACCCTCTGTCAGTTGGTCAGTTGCTGCTTCATCAGGCAGTCTAGACCGTGGAAGGCTGACCTTATTCTGGTACCCAGAGTCCCTGCAGGAATTCCCCCACGAGCTTGCTGGGGTGTAGTGACAGGAGTTTAAAACACCATTTTTCTGTGTGACCTTGGGTAAGTCACAATACCTCTCTGAGCCTCGATTTCCAGAAGAAAATGATTATGCCCATTTTGCAGTGGAGTAAACGAGAGTACAGAGAAGGCAGGTCACCTGCCTGAGATCACACAGCTACTGAGCAGCCATGGCAGTACTCTTGCAGGGTTCACAGAGCTCCCAGTCTTCTCCACTCCATCAGTAGTTCCTGAAGGGCCTGTTCGTGGTGTGGGGGGCCAGGGGGTGGTTTCAGTTGACCCATGAACCAATCTATGCGTTAAAGTAATTTTTACAGGTGTATGTTAGTTTTAATGCCTACTGTGTACCTGTGAATGGATATGATTGCTTAAAAAGGGACTAAGTTGTAAAACACATGACTCAAAATAAAGAGAAATACTTATTAATAACTAATAATATAATACACAGATGTGTGAGAGAAGAAAGGGAAAAGAAGAGTTTGGGTTACTGTGCGTATACACTTTGCATTCACTGTAGGAAGGTAGTTAATAACCACTAAACCTGTATGGTTTCCCACAAATGTACTACGGAAGCACTGCTGACAGCAAACCTAAATGACCCCTTGGCTGCGGGATATGTCCCCTTCTGGCACCTCAGCAAGCCACTCACCAGGTACCACTTCTCTGCAGTGAAACCCAGGGCCCCGGGAAACCTCACGATCCACCCCACCTCCCAGACCTGGGTGCTGACGTGGAGCAACCCGTACCCTGATGAGAATTACCTGCATCGGGAGCTCACCTACCTGGTCAACGTTTCAAATGAACATGACCCTGCGGATGTGAGTGGGCACTGTGGGGTTTCTCCGCCACCTCCTGGGACTTGGGCAGGAGGAGACTCAGGCTCTGGGGCCGGACAGCAAACTCAGGGACCTAGACTTGTGCTCAGGCCAGACCCTCCCTGCCTCCAGGCCTCAATCCCCAGGGGCAGAGAAGGGAAGTTATTTCTGGGCACTGCGCTCATGTGTAAAGGAAAGCTCTGGGGTCCAGTCTATATCCTGGGGGATGGGACACTTGAGATTTTAGGTGGGTCCTTGGCTGCACCCTGAAGTGACCAAGTCCCACAGTGAGACAGTTGCTGTACATTGGCTCCCTCCCAACCATGACTGGCCAAGGAAGGTGCCTCAGCTGAGCTGATAGGTTTATTAATCCTTTTAAGCAGAGAGAAGAGGCTGCAGGCTCAGAGCCTTCTCTCAGGAAACCCTTTCTGCCCTCAGCAGCGTCGTCACCAGCCTCTCATGGCATCTGGTGCTTGCTTTCCAGTCATGCATTCATAGCGGGGTTCACTTCTAAATGAATGTGTTGACATTTTTAAAAAAGGAGAGCTGATGTACAGGAAGCCATTAAATAAGGGCAGGGCCGTGCAAAGGAGATGTCTTGCTCCCCTCCATTGTAGTTGCGGTGGGGTGGAGACTGCTTCATGCTGCCTGTGTTTTCCCCTCATGTCGCTGGGGTCCCACAGAGCTGGGTCCTAGCACTTGCCATGCCACTTGCCAGCTGTGTGAACTTGAGCATGTTGCCTGACCGCCTTGTGCCTCAATGTGCTCATCTGTAACATGGGATAACAAGGGTACCTACCCCAAGGTCTGTTGAGAGCACAGAGTGTGTGATACAGACCAGCTCCCCTGCCTGGCACAAAGTACCTGGTGAGCATCCTCCTGTTCCGAGTGCTGCAGGCCTTGGAGATCCCCATCGGCCTCCCTGCCTTGTCCTGGCCTTTGACTCCCTCTGACAGAGTGATTGAGGGTCTGCTCTGTGCCACAGTTGTGTTCCAGGATTGAGGCTAGCCTGGCCTCAGCTGCCAGGGAGCAGGCCCCAAACGCCTCAAGATCCCAGTAAGCTTCTGCCACTGTTTCCTGTCTTCCTGGCCAAGCCAGGGAGGTGTTGGTTGTTGATTTATATCTCTCAGGTGTGGTTTCCCCCTTGGCGCTGGGCCAGGCTGTGCAGTAGGAGCAAGAATAAAACAGCTGTGCTCACACAACGGAGGCTCAGAGAGCAGGGGGAGGGGGCCGCACAGATGCCAAGGAGAGAGGCAGGTTCTACTCGGTCAGTAAATCTCTTTCCCATGTCCTGAGCCCGTACAAGGCTTAGTTCAGCATATAGGCTGGAGGGAGAGAAGGCTGTGACCCAGAGAGTCCAAAGAAATGTTATTTATTTGCTCATCATGGCTTGCTCCAGGTTCCAGGAATCTGTCCATTTCCTGGCCGTGCTTTAGTCTGTGTTGCCTCATTTTTAGGCAGTCTCTTCCCTTATGTAGTGACCAGTGTGCCCACCGGCAGCTCCAGGCCTACATGCCAAGGCTGCAGTGGGAAGTTTTTCTTTCCATGTTTTTCTTTCACAGGACTTTCCTAGTGAAAGTCCTGAGGCTGAGGTTCAGTTGCCTGGTCGGATCATGGGCCAGTCTCTGAACCTGTTACAGGCTGCAGGCAGGAGAGAGGGGACTGGTGCTGCGCTCAGACGGGCCAGGGGCGGGGGTGCTCAAGCCCACCTCTGGAGCTGCAGAAGGGGTCCACACCACCCAGACCAGATGGGCTGAGAATGCGGAAGGGTGGCTCCCCAAAGGAAACTGGGGAAGGGAGCCAGGGACTGGCAGAAACGCAGCTGCATGTCGGACCTAGGGCCAGGCACTAGCCAGGAGACAGAATGGCTCAGTGGCCATGCTGTGCTCAGGGGTGTCCCAGGCCAGCTTCTCTTGTTGGTGGGTCAGAGGCTACTGAGACACCCTTTACCATGTTTTCCTTCCCAAGGACAGAGCCCAACCTGAAAAGCCCCTCATTATTCATTGGCCAGAGCTAGTTAGATAGATGCTCTATGCTAACCAATCACAGGCTGGGATGGGATGGCCATGAGTGGTTTAAGCCAGTGAGCATTAACCCTGGAGCTGGAGACAGAGGCCCTGAGCTTTGGGTTCCTGACCCCAGTGGCTAGATGTGTGGGTGTCCAGCTGTGTTTGCTGTAGTATTGCAGACACCAGCTGTGGCTCAGACTGATAGGATCAATTTTTTGTTTGTTTGTTTTTCCTTTTTTATTGAGATGCAATTGACATATATTACCTTGCTTCAGGTGTACAACACAGTAATCTGACATTTGTA